TATTTCCCCCCTTAAGCAAATCATCCTCTCTAGCCCTCTTGGCTGAGACAAAATCCGCATTTGATTTTAAGGCAGGTTCTCACCTTGTGGCAAAAAAAAAATTGATTTTTTTTTCTTGGCTTATCGTATAGATATATGTTCCGAAAATGTTCTCAACAAATTTCAGATCCAAATTTGAAATATTACAAAAGTTACAGGCCCTTACACGGAGCACCGGCCATTGGAAGCCAAAACTTTAAGCGCGTTTATCTCGGAAGCACGTTTTCGGACCTTACGAAAGTAATTGAAGGCGTTGGAGTTAACCAATCGTCATCAAATTTTTTTAAAATGTTCCTAATTGTTTCCTTTAACTAATGAACTAGGATTATCCAAAAATATTGAAAACTGTTTAATTGAGAAAATAATTAGTGAAAAAAAAAGCTCGAAAATCGAAATTTTTTTTTCGAAAGCTAATAATTTTTGCAATTTTCATTTTTTTTTTCTGATCCTAGTTCATTTTATGCACAGTATTGGGCTGGCAAGAAAGTCATGTCGTTTTTTTTTCAATATTTTCAAAGATGATTTATTTATATCAGGACTTATAATTAATCAATTATGTATTGGCCATTTTGTTCGACCACTAATGACCATCTTTCGGGCAGCTGCATAATTCCGCGCTAGAAGAACTTTTGGTCTTTTCCAGCAAAGAATCGAGGCAAGTGGTTTTCGACAGCCTCATCTGAATCAAAGTTTTTACCATTCAAAGAGTTTTGAAGAAAGCGAAAAAAATGGTAATCTGAAGGTGCTAAGTCCGGACTATAAGCTGGATGTGGTAGCACTTTCCAATTCAGCTCCGTTAATTTTTGCCGAGTGACCAAAGATGTGTGGGGCCTAACGTTGTCATGGTGAAAGACTATACCCTTGCGATTAGCTAGTGCCGGCTGCTTTTCTTTAATTTTTTCCGCCAAATTGTATAGCTGGCGACAGTACACATCTGAATTGATGGTTTCATTTCGTCCCAGCAGCTCAAAGTGCACTACACCCTTCCAATTCCACCAAACAGACAGCATAACTTTCCTCTGATGGATATCGGCCTTGGATGTGGCTTGGGCTGGCTCATCTCTCTTGCTCCATGATCTTTTTCGTTGGACATTATTGTAAACAACCCACTTTTCGCCGCCAGTAATAATCCGCTTCAAAAAAGGATCGTTTTTAATCCGTTGCAGCAGAGAATAGCAGATGTTGATACGCTTAGTTAGGTGAATTTCCTTTAAGTTATGCGGAACGCAAACATCGAGCTTGCTTACGTTGCCAAGTTTCTTCAAATGGTTTTCAGTACGACACACTGAGCTTCTCTGACATCTCCCGCGTTAAATAATTAGATTAAAAACGATTACTAAAAAAAACGACATGACTTTCTTGCCAACCCAATACTGTACACTTTAAAAATCTTTTTGGTTATTGTGTTTCCGATTACCCGTTTTGGTCCCCGTAAGCGGGACACCTTTTTGCCGAAATGTTGCAACTGAGGAACGCGCCCTCCCGCCCCTTTTTTGATTTTTTAATTTTGAAATTTTTTTTCGCAAATTAAATATGTTTTCAAATAAAGTTACAAATTTCAGATTTTTATCTTTAACCGTTTTCTCAAACATTTTTTTTTTTTAAATGTCAATTTTTCGGCCCTACAAGGTGAGAACCTGCCTTAAGTGATCTGTTGAATCTATTTCTGATGAAGTTCGTTTGCTAACTTTTGTTTCAAACGTATTCCAGCCTGTTCATAGTTTTGGCGTTTCTATTTTAGATGGAGATGGATCCGTAAGCTGTTGCTCAATGGTTGTCTGCGAAAGCCACGCTAAGTGCTGAACCTTAAATCTAGACAACATTCGATTGGATTTAGGCAAATATTTTTTGAAGGTTGATATGAATGTAATAACTTTTTCCTCGACTTCGTTAACCTGTAACTTGCTGACTTCATTCACATTACATTTTTCTAAAATCCACTTCTTTAGGGCAAAGGCGTCGCGTCCATTACTCTCCCAAATCTCCAGCAATGTTAAGCGACGAAACTCATATTCGGCTGGAACATGACATTTTTTTCGAAAAGGGGCAAAAACGGGCAAAGGAAATTATTAACGCCCTTGATCAAAAAGTTCCAGACTTTTATTAATAAAATCAAAAATACAAAGTTATTCATCAAAATCAATATTGTATAATAATATTCAAAAGCAATGTCCAACTCCTCTGCCATCTCTCCAATAGTCAATTTGCGGTTTATGGCCATCCAGTTTTTGAATTTGCCGATGTTTTCGTCCGTTTTCGAAGAGCATGGCCTGCCAGAACGGTCATCATCGTTGATGGAATTACGGCCACTTTTGAACCGTGTATGCCACTCGCGAACTGTTGTTAGTTTCAAAGCATTGTCACCGAAACACTTCTCCAACATTTCCAAAGTAGTCAGAACACTAATTTCATTTTTAACACAAAATTTAATGCAAATTCGTTGCTCTTGTTTTCTATCCATTTTTTTAAATCAAAAAAATCGAAGACACGCTCAAAGGTTAATGTAAACAACACAACGTAACTTTGACAAATGTCAATCGATGACGCTGAAAACTGGTGGGAATATAAACAACAGTTCTACCAATCTGGAAAAAAAAATTATTGAAATCGTTTGACTGGGAGCGCCACACGGGGGGCAAAGTCAGGATCTTTTTGATCAAGGGAGTATAGTACCTACTACTGACATTCTGCAGCTCCTAAATAAATTATTATTAACATTACACTGTGCGACAAAATTTAACGAAATGTTTGTTTGAGTTACTTTTTTGATTGTTTTCGGTTAAGGGGCATAAGTTATGCACAAAAATTTTTATGCCACCTTCTAAGTAATAGGATTTCTTTTTTTATGATAAATTTTATGAAATTATTATTATTAAAATATTTAACACAAAATATTATTTTTTTTTTACTTCCAATAAACTATTATTTTTTTTTAAAGTGAAATTTTTTTCTGATTTTTTTTGGATTTTTCAGAGGTATTCTCGCGTAACAAGTTCCATACGTAGTCGCCCAGAGTATAGAGCTGGGAGAAAAAAATTTTAAAGCATTGTTATAAAAGCCTAACGGTATATTTGCTTAATATATTTTAATTAATAGATATTGAACTTGCATAAAACGCTTATAACGGTGAAAAAATATTTTCCCAATATGGTATTATAAGGCTGTGAAATATGCAAAAACACGCGTTTTTGGGACCTTTGAGTGTGCGTAGAAGCTGATTGGCTATTGATATTAACAAATCCAAAAACTTGTATTCTTATTTTGACTAGTAGAAGTGAAAAATAAGAAAAAATCAACTCAAACATTTTTTTGTCGCACAGTGTTATGACACAAAACTAGGCAGTAAAATTAAAAAATTCCCCCTCTCATTATTTTTGCATCGATTTTACGTTTTTCTTCTTCGAGAATCGTGCCGTGCGATATACGGCTGCGCCCCTCGGTCGGTTAAGCGGACTACGCGCGTTTGTTGAAAAAAAAAGTCTAACAGCTATGTATATGATATAGCTACATACAGAATTAACGGAAATAAAATGATAGCTTTGTTGTTTTTCATTAGACAAGCATAATTTTTGGAATATGTATATAGTTTTCTAATGACTTCTAATTTCATCAAAATCGGAAGAACATATCATATAGCTGTCTTATAAAAAATTGTCGAAAATTTAGAAACTTAAGGGGGGCTTCTCATGTAAAATTTAAAAAAATCCTTTTTTTTTTCATAGATCGATAGAATAACGTCTTGAGAGTATATTCCCGAAGTTTTATGACTCAACTCTCAATATTATGGAAAATATGACTGATTGAACGAGCGCGCTCGGGCGCGCTTTGGGTGCTAACTCAAAACTTTAAATCGTTTTTTTCAAAAATATGATTTTAAAAACGCGGTACACGATTACGAAAAAACTACTGAACCGATTTTTGATTTCTAAAAAGTGTTTTGCAGATTATACATTGAACGAGTGCATGAATATCTGAAATTGTGAAAAAAAGTTATTTTATACACTTTTCACCCCAATTCACTTTTTTTTCAAGACGTGATTTCAATATTTTAAAATCGAATTTTTTGAAGTTGCCGACCTTGCTGAATAATAAAAATTTTTGTTTGTATGTTTCCGATGAAAACTTTGGGCTCCACACTGTACCGCAATAAGTCCCTCAGCCGCGTAGAGCCAAACGCGACCTTGAATAAGTCCGCCATTTTGTTTTTTTAAATTTTCAAAAAATGTTTTTCTCATACTTTAAACATGTCTTCAAATATATGCAAAAAATTATTCGTGTAAGTTTTCATTTTCCAAGTGAAAAAAATTCCCAAAAAACAACTACTTTTTGACATGTTACATGAGAAGCCCCCCTTAATAGAAATATTGACACAGCTTCGATGTGGTTTAGCCTTTATGTATTTTGTTTGATATATTTGATGACTGCAAGGGTGCCGAAGCTAGCTTCCTTTCATGTTTTCCGTTTACTTCCATTAATTCTATATAGATTTTTCGATCTCACCTATGGCTATATGATATATTAGTTTCATAACACTTAAATCAGATTTCAAGAATACTAAGAAAACCCCATTAACAAATCATATCAATATGATAAAAAAAACAAGGGCGTAAAATTTGTTTCCCTTTTTTTCGATCTCTCGTATGGGTGCTATCCGAAACAGTCGTCCGATCCGGCCCGTTCAGACTAATATACTAAGTGCAATAATAACACAACATTTGTAAAAGTTTCAGCTAGATGGCGTTTCGTTTAGAACGAGTCAGATGGTGATGATAATCGAGAATAAATAAACTGGATGGGGTCTGAATGGTCTCGGGCCTCAGATTATAACATTCATATTTTGCAAGGATATAAAATATGAAAAGATGTTTAAAAATTGAAGATCGAGCTAACCTACACCCCGCCATTCTCTATTTATATCGGCTTTTTCATTTAATATATACTTTTAAATATTTACATTACAGGCTGTTTGTTCAAGGCATGGACTGGCTATTGGAGCAAAGACCATTTTAATAACAAAAACCGTAATGGCTATAACAGCACCATTGTCCTATCCAGTTTCTTGTATTTTGGATAAGTTATTAGGCGAAGAGATTGGTAATGTTTACAATCGCGAACGCCTAAAAGAATTAGTTCGTGTAAGTATGTTTTGGTTTAATTTCGCAAATCTTGTCATTTACACAATTTATCATTTAGGTTACTAATGATGTAAACGATCTTGATAAAAATGAGGTCAACATAATTTCTGGAGCTTTAGAGCTACGAAAAAAAACTGTAGCTGAGGTAATGACGCATATAAATGATGCCTTTATGCTATCTTTAGATGCACTGCTTGACTTTGAAACTGTATCTGAAATTATGAACTCTGGATATTCTCGTATACCAGTTTATGATGGAGATAGGAAAAACATTGTAACTTTACTTTACATTAAGGATTTAGCTTTCGTTGATACCGATGATAACACGCCTTTAAAAACTCTTTGCGAGTTTTACCAAAACCCAGTTCATTTTGTTTTTGAAGATTACACTTTGGACATTATGTTTAATCAATTTAAAGAGGGAACAATAGGTCATATCGCATTTGTCCATCGAGTTAATAATGAAGGAGATGGAGACCCTTTTTATGAAACTATCGGGTTGGTTACTCTGGAAGATGTAATTGAAGAACTGATTCAAGCAGAAATCGTTGATGAGACGGATGTTTTTGTTGATAACCGTACCAAAACCAGACGAAATCGATATAAAAAAGCTGACTTTTCTGCTTTTGCCGAACGCCGTGAAGTGCAAGCCGTCCGGATATCTCCTCAATTAACTTTGGCTACTTTCCAGTATTTAAGCACTGGTAAACTATTGTTTATATTAAGAATCAAAATATTTAACTTACAAAATAAAAACCTTATTTTCAGCTGTGGACGCCTTCAAAAAAGATGTTATTTCGGAGCCTATTTTGCGAAGATTACTTAATCAAGACGTTTTTCACAATATTAAAACAAAAGGAAAAAGTAAAGAAGACCCAAGTCTTTACATTTTTACCCAAGGAAAATCTGTCGATTTTTTTGTACTTATCCTGGAGGGCCGAGTTGAAGTCACAATTGGCAAGGAAGCTCTTATGTTTGAAAGTGGCCCTTTTACTTATTTTGGGACCCAAGCCTTGGTGCCAAATGTTGTTATCGGTGAGTAAATATGTAGTTTTCAATTTAATTTTTGGGAATATGACTTCAATCGGTAAAAGATAACATTATTTTACCTGTATACAGTAGAATCCAGTTATAGCTACATTCAAGGAACCGACGATATTACGTCGTTATACACGGAAGACGCATTAATCAAAAGGAGCAAAACTTTTTTATACCCTTGCAGAGCAAAGGGTATTATAATTTCAGTCAGAAATTAGCAACGCAGCGAAGGAGCCACCTTAGACCCCATAAAGTATATATATTTTGATCAGCATAACAATCTGAATCGTCTGTCTGTCTGTCCGTCGGTCCGTCTGTCTGTTTCTATGTAAACAAGTCTATCAGTTTTAAAGCTATCTTGCTAAAACTTTCCCAAAAGTTGTGTAGTTATCGTCAGGCGCGGCACAATTTGAAACGAATTGGTGCTCAGTAAGCTATTGCTAAGCTTTATTTTAATATTTTCATGTTTGGATTATATTTTTCGATGAAAAAAAACTTAATTTGAGCCCATCAGGGCCATCTAAATATAATCTACTAGAGGTCCTGTGTCCGCTGCGCTGGTCAACACAATTTAACAACATAATAGTCAATGTTGCAACATTTTTCAAATATATGGAAGTATAGAAAGATGGTGGTTTAACACTTTTCCAGTTTGACTTTTCAACTTGCGCAGCACAATCCAGCCGTTTCTCTTTTAAACTTTAACGCACTGCAATATCGGTATATAGTCGCCATTGGTCCAATATCTAAATTTTCATTATCACTGTAGTTCGCAGTGGGGTCATATTGGAATGCCAAGCGATTTAATGATGTCAATGATCTCCATGAGCTCATTTGTCTTTCTTCGCTTAAGTTTTGTGAATATACTTGTTGCTGGCTTGGATGTCTGCTGCCAATGTTTGCACGTCGTCCTCTAAGCATTTTGGACTATGGACAGAGTGGTGAATTTATCCTCAAATGCACGATCCACATAATTTTCACAGTTCAACTTAAATTGAATAAAAATTTTTTTTTTCACAATTTCACAGTGAACACAATACCCGTTTGTCCATGAAATTAACTGAGCAGAGAACACTAAGGTTTGCATAATATGTGAAAAAACTTAATTCACTTGGAAATGATAAATGAAAACCACAAAAATTGAGTTAAAATGCTATGGTAGCGTGTTTGTCAGTGTGATGACGTAGCAACTTATTTATATGGACAATATTGCAATTTTCTTGCGGATCCCTAATTTTTTTCAAAATAAATTATAGCCTATTTTACTCCACGATAATGTAGCTTTCTATCGGTGAAAGAATTTTTTAAATCGGACCAGTAGTTCCGGAGCCTATTTGTTGCAAACAAACAAACAAATTTTACCTCTTTATAATATTAGTAATCTATACACAAAAAAATATTAAAATAAAGCTTAGCAGGAGCCTTTAAGAATAGCTTACTGAGCACCAATTCGTTTCAAAATTTGCTCCTGCAAAATTGCCTGACGATGGATCTCTGTGCTTCTTGGAGAACTTGCCATTTTTAATGGCACCAAGTGTTGGCAAGTGTGTAAAGTCCGCCAAATGCCGATCCAAGGCCAATTTTAGTTTCATTTGATCAATAATAGCATCAGATTGAAAAAAAAAAAAACGTTTTGAACAAACTGCGCACTGTTCAGTGTACACAAGTGATTACTCACAACTGTCCTATCCAAATAAACGATTTTCAGCATGCAAAAAACCATGCAGCAGTGCAAAAACTCAAATAAAAAAGTGGGGAAAGCAATAATGAAAAAATGTAACTGCATTTTACAATCACAATATAACAGAGATTATAACTTAAAACAAGAAAGGAAGCTAGATTCGGCATGCCGAAGCTTATACACCCTTGCAGTCATCAAATGCGTCGAACAAAATGCATAAAGGCTAAACAACATCGAAGCTAAGACGATTTTTCTATTCATTTTCCATATTTTCGACTATAGATCATATGGGAACTATATGATATAGTTGTCCGATTTTGATCAAATTTAATTCGTAAATCAAGAGTCGTTAGAAAACTTTATATTCCAAAAATCATGCTTATCTGATGAAAAAGAACGATGTTATAATTTTATTTCCGTTATTTCTATATAGATTTTTCGATCTTTCCTATAGCAGCTATAAGATATAATTGTCCGATTTTTATAAAACTTTTTCCTCAATATATAAGGGTTGTTAAAAAACTTGATATCATGGTCGTGGGATAAAAAAAACAACGATGTTATCAATTTATTTTCATTAATTCTATATATATTTTTCGATCTCTCCTATGGCAGCTCAGAGATATAAGTCAGAACGGGCCGGATCGTGGGACTATATCGGATAATTAAAAAAAACGGACAACTATATCATTTAGCTGTCATAGTAAAAGTCGAAAAATTTATATAGAACTAGTAAACCCGGCGAATTCCGTTCCGCCACCAGATGGCGATAGTTGTATGTAAAATTTCGTTTGGTGATTAAAAGATAAAGAACATTTTTTTTGTTTTATGTATGACAAGAAAGGAAGCTAGCTTCGGCAAGCCGAAGCTTATATACCCTTGCAGTCATCAAATATGTGGAAAAAAATGCATAAAGGTTAAACAACATTGAAGCTAAGACGATGTTTCTATTCATTTTTCATATTTTCGACTATAGATCATATGGGAACTATATGATATAGTTGTTCGATTTTGATCAAATTTAATTAGTAGGGGAGGGTGGTGCGATACCGACCCCCTAAATGGCAAAGGCGATAAAGGTGAGAAAAATCTATTTTTCAGTTCAGTTCAAAAATTTACTATGTAGAGGGATCAGTTTACTATACATCTAATTGATTAGTAAGTGCGTAGGTGCTTTGAAGCGTTAGATATTGAGGCAAATATAAAACTCCACTTTTTGGTCGTACTCAAAAGTAGTGGTCCGAAACCGACCCCCTATTTCTTAACAGAAAAATTTAATAACATAAAATAGAATTTAATGATTTTGACGTTTATTAAGAAATATATTGAAGGTTCTTTCCAGAAAATAAAAATTATTGTATGAAATAAAGGACACTGTGATCAATTCATGAAGACTGAGTTGTCCTCTTTCTCATAGTAAGTTTTCGCATTGTTTTCGCGTTGTTTTTCGAAAGCCGCTCGTTGATGACTGTCTCTTCGCTTGCTGTCTGATGTTTTTGCTGTTTCTGTTACTTTTCTTTACTGAATCTTGTTTACTTTTTCATATTTTCCCTCAAAAATACGCTATGACATATTAAGCTGCCAATAAATGGGGGTCGGTTTCGGACCATCACTTCGCGGTCGGTTTCGGACCACCACAACCTTTTCTAATTAACTGCTCGCCATTATTTAATGACGCAAAGAGCGATGTAATTCTAATAGCGTGAATGACAGCTAGGACTATCAACTATCAGAAAACCTTACCCTCCGATTTTTATGCGGAAAAAAAAAACTTTAAAAATATTTAAGCTCAAGTTCAGTAAAGAAAAAAAAACTGAATGTCACAGGCGTTGAAACAAAACAAACGGAAAAATTGCAGTAAAACAAAAGAAGTCAAATTGGCTATCTATCTCCAAAATGTCTGTGTTATAACAGCTTTTCACTGAAGTTACCGACAATTCGGCTAGCATCGCCATCTCTGAGAAACATGGGGGGGGGGGGGTCGGTATGGTACGACCGGTCGGTATGGGACCACTCTCCCCTAATTCAAGAGTTGCTAGAAAACTTTATATTCCAAAAATCATGCTTATCTAATAAAAAAACAACGATGTTATCATTATATTTCCGTTTTTTCTATAAAGATTTTTCGATCTTTCCTATGGTAGCTATAAGATATAGCTGTCCGATTTTTATGAAACTTTTTTCTCAATATTAGGGTTGTTAAAAAACTTGATATTTAAAAAATCATGCTCGTGGGATAAAAAAAGAAAAATATCAATTTATTTCCATTAATTCTATATATATGTAAGTCTTTCCTATGGCAGCTATATGATAGATTTGTCCGATTTTGATAAAATTTAATCTGAAATTCAATAGTAGTTAGAAAACGCCATCTGGAAGAAATCAAGTCGATCTGATAAAAAAGAACGGCGTTAGATTTTTTTCATTTCATTCTCTTGTATTGGAGCTATTCGATATAGTCGGCCGATCAGGCCCGATCCGACTTATATACTGCTTGCAATAGCTACACAACTTTTGGGAAAGTTTCAGCAAGATAGCTTTAAAACTGAGAGACTAGTTTACATAGAAACAGACAAACGGACCGACGGACAGACGTACATACATATTTCGATTCAGATGGTTATGCTGATCTAGAATATATATACTTTAAGGGGTCTAAGGTGTCTCCTTCACTGCGTTGCAAACTTCTGACTGAAATTATAATACCCTTTTGCTCTGCAAGGGTATAAAAAGGAAAATTTTTACTTCATTTTACTATAGTAATGCATTCATTTCAAAAACAAAATGAAAGTGGATCCAAAGTAAATACATACATACATAAAACTACCTAGTTCTTTACTAGTTCTAAGCGTTATACGTGTCCGCGAATTATCCGTTTCATTGAAGTGCTCTTTGGTAAACCACATTTTTTTTTTGGGGTCTAACGTTAACACAAACAAAGCGGTTCCCAACTCGTGAATACGCAATATATAGCTGCCCAATTGAAAAACAAAGATTTTCTAAATTTATCCCGCAAACACTAAGCGATTGGCCTTGCGACTTGTTAATTGTCGTTTGAAGTCAAACGGAAGATCAGTCGGAATCATTGGAATTCGAGGAATTCAAACATTTTCACCTGCGTACACTTTCCGTTAATAATGGTTGCCTCAATCGAATTCGGCATAAGTCTTTTTACCGAAAGTCCAGTCCTGTAAATTTTTGGAAATTAGCTGTAACAATAGACCTTTTGTTCTCTTACAGTGGTGGCCGTAAGTATTTTGTCAAAATAAAAGTGAAATATACTCAAAACCTGAACTTGCTTCTTTTAACTTTTGGT